TCACGTCCTAAAGGAAAATATAAATAAAACGGAAACGGGAGGATCGTTATTTCGCCTCTAATTTATTCGAATCGCAAGTATGGACAAATTGCATGGGCTAAAAATGAAGCGGACTTTAAATCAATTCAGTGACAAAAAAATAAACAACGCAGAAGGTTTTTTTATTCAGTATATTTGAATATTCATTAAATTATGTGCATATGAAATATAAAAATTAAACAATTTATGTAAAATATATTTTTTAGGGCCCTGACATATCATCTGTAGTAAAGAATTATTTTGTAACGAAAAAGTACATATATTTTTCATTATGTAATTATTATATCATTATTTACAGATATTTTGAGAATAGATAAAATTTTTTTTCAATAATCGAACTGTATTTTTTTCGCATTATTGAAGACATCGTTGGGTTAAAACGAATCAATTCGAAAAAGAATTGACAAAACTAATTTATCATTAATTATTTAGTTTAATTAGATCAGCACAGATTTTTAGTCGAGATTTATCAAGTCCTCACGTTTATGTAAAAAGTGTTAATTCTCTTGGATAAAGAAAAAATGTGTGTCCGAATTAGCATCGTTGATCGCGAAACTCGATTACGGAGGTAGTTGCTACGTAGGCAGGATAACTAATCGTGAAGCTAAAAATCACTGAACGTTGTTAAAATTCATAACAATCTCGCGGTTCGTGAAATTGGCAAACGGAGCGTATTTTCGACCGGCGCGGCACGGCGCGACAACGCTACGGTCGCATTAAAAACCGTGAATTTTTTCGAATTTACCGTGTGTTGCGCCGGATTTCCTCTCGGACCAATTAAACTATCTTTTTCAGCATGCATGTTGTTGCAGCCTTTGTAAAAAAAAAACCTGAACATCCTCGCTCCTCTTGTAAGAGAACTAATTTAATCTGCCGCGCTTGTCATAAATGTTAGTTTGCTTTATATTCTCTCAATCCTTTATGAGATTATTTGATCTGTTAGTTGCATCGTCCCAGAAAATATTTACGTTTCCAGTATTTTTATCTTTCTGCAGACATGTTCTGCTTTTGTATTAAATCTTTTATTCTTCCTTTGAATTCTTACTGTTTCCAATTAAGTAAATTGCCTGTTCTTATTTAAGTACAAAAGATCTAAAACAGGTAACGCTAGATGTATTGCAAAACAAGTTAACTGAAATGCGAAGAATCTGTCTGGTGTAAATATTTAAAAAATGCAGCACCGTTGCGGAAGGATTGCACGATTGGAAATTCGACGAGCACTCGTCAAACTTCCATAAATCTCTAGAAGGGAGGGTGGGGGTCATAACCGGGCGCGGTCCATTGTCCAATCGCGCTTTATCCTCGTCACCGGTTTCCTCTGCGAACGACTTCAAATTTTCAATTTTCTCCTGTTACTTTTTTCTCTCCCTTTTCCAACATAGTCCGTCAATCGTGGCTTTTGCAGATTCTGCAACGACGCGATGCGATGCCCGCACCGCCTGCCGATTGGCGTCCAGCGTACACGGAATAATTCGAACGAGATGAGTGATATTTCTGTGTTACGAAAATTCAATCCTTTTTTTTTTAAGAAACCCGAGTTTCCCGTTCCGAGTTGTCAACGTTTAAAAATTGAACTTCCGGTTTTTATATGCATACGTACCCCTCGTATGCAAATTAAAATTCATAAGGCGCAATACGCAAAGTCCTCTGAAAGGGATTATTCAAAGCGAGCTTATTCTTTAAAAAAATATTCATATATGCGTGAAAGATAGAATAGTCTTTACCTGTATCGAAAATCTAACAACTGTACATGTACAGGGCGTCCCAGAATGCACGACTTCCCTCGGAAAACATGAAAGAGTCTCTGAATGAAAGATACTCTGAGTCGAAAGTTACTCTTCCACTTTTTTCTCCAAACGGTATTAACAGTAACTAACGAAAAAGGTAATAAAATTATTGATGTTCTTACACGTTGCAATGTTGATACATTATCAGATTTCACAGGAACATCTGTTATATTTAATGAAAATTCGTATGCATCAACCTAATATTTATTAATAATATTTTATTCTATAAAAAAGGATAGGGACACAGGCATGAAAAGGAGAATGGTATTCTCCCTTAAAAACTCATTGAATGAATTCCTGCAGCGGTTGTTAACAAAACAATACCCTTTGTTTGCTGGTTTCGTTCTGATTTGATTCGTCAAAAGCACGGCTTTAGAGTTTTAAAGAGACGACTGGCCATCGAAGATCCGCGAGTATATTCAGAATTGCACGCGGAGTTTCGTTTGATTTATGCGGTTGGTACAGTGACACATAGATAAATGAGTTCACTGGATGCGCTGCGGAATATACCCAGCCAGTTGTATCGATTCCTGTGGTTCAATTCGGCGGGCCCGAGTCATTTCGCCCGATGTTGTTACGAGATAATGTTATTCGCTCACTGAATCCAGAAACAAAACAATCATTGTATCTTTCGATAGTTCGGGCGATTATTCATGCAATCAGATTTTCAATAATAGTATGAAGACTGCGGGCACACGCCTGCACAGATTTACCTGTACGCCTGTACAGGCTCATCAGTACAATAACATATTCCAGACTATTGATTTCTACACACGTACGAAAAATACAAAAGAACAAAATGTACGAAATAAAACATATATCGTTTTAATATGAAAATGAGATCTGAATTGTATTCTTCGTCGTCATTTAAATAATGCGATGTGCATTCAGCTTCTGATATTGTATACATTTTTAAACATCACATACAGCGTTTTTATTTCTTGCATATTTAGTTTTCTTATAAATGCATAAAATCCACATTCTAAAAATAACAGAAGAGTTCTATCGCGTACACAGTTTGGTAAGCCTGTGCTCGTATACCCATACACCATGGCAAGTTTATCTGAATGCTACACAATAGATGATAGCTAGATGATATCGAGTCACCATTCATATTGGTCACTATAAGCATTCTATCTAGCCACAGGCAAGCTAAGGCTCTGTCATAAATCGTTTGAAAGCAAAATAGCGTCGAGCCAATTGGCCTCAACGATCCTCAAAGGTACCTCGCCCCTAACAAACGATTATTGCTGCTTGATTTCGACAAGCATGACGAATCCTCAGTTACGGTAACACTGGTCAGGGTTTGTAGAACCTGATACTGACAGTTCGGGATCGTAGAACCTGATACGTGCGTAATATCCTCGAGTCATTAATGTAGAGTTCATTAACGGCAGGGTAGCAATTCAGGAGGTCCAGCAAGTTTCAGGTAATTATTAAACACCAGATGTATATATATACGTATACTATTACCAGAGTGCAAGGTTTACCTATAACAGAATTTGCATTCTGTTATTAAAGTTCACAATAGTATTTCGCATTTCTATAAAGCTTCTCAATAGAATAATCATCAATTTTTTGTTAAAATAGAATTCCATACAAGTTAATAAGAATTACAATATTAAAGACCGTGAGTGTATAAAAATGTATACACCTGGAAAGAACGCATTACTCATTGGGTTTTTCTTTTCTATACAGCAACTGTGATGCTCGCTGCTGAGCAATCCTTTCCGCTAACGACGCATTCAATAATGGCAACGTGTTCTCATTACAAACTCCATACGTATCGATCCGTACGCAATAAATCAGAATCGACGTCGAATCGTGGCCGAGATACTTAGGGCGAATCGATGCTAACGCGGCGTGTAAAATGAATAATTAATATATTCAAATGGAGAACACATTTAAACTGTGCAACCGTCATCGGACTTGCACACAACCGCGTACAAGCACACGTGTTCGCCTGTCCAAATATCTATTACACGCACTCACACGGAATCCTCGGTTTCTCATTTGAATTCACACACAAAGACACATTCAGACCCGGAGACAGAGAGGAACGTGTTACGCGTTCTCTGCAGAAACTGTTCCTCCTGTAACGGCGAACAGGCCCGTCTCTTCAATATATTCATACACGAAGTTACATATCCTGACGGTGCTTCAATCTCTGAGGGAGATTGAACCCACGTACTCCCTGTATCTCGGTACACGCGGAGGTCTTACAACGATATCGCTTTAAATTCGTAATAACGCGAGTTTCCACCTAGCCGGTGTTAGTTTTGCAGTCACGTTGAATGACTCGCAGCTTTCCCAAGTACGTTCGCCTGAAATTCTTTACAATCTCCTGTCTTAAGCGTTTAACGTTTCGTTAATAGTTAAACAGAGCCTCGCTTTAATACTCATTTTTCCTCGGTAAAATACTATAGTGTATTCTTTATGAGGGTTTCTCTTAATTTTTTCTTCAGTATCTTTTTCTACGAGATTTACATAGAATTTTATCTTTGCGTAACGATGACCAATATTTTTCCGAGAGTCGGTCGGAAATTCTGTTTGCACAATTCTACTGAACATTTCACAATTTCCTCGCTAGGTTAACTCTTTGATTAAGAAAACGAGAAAATGTAAGAAGAAATTCGAGTGGGACACGTAGATGATAGTCGGATCGCAAAGCTGTTTCGTCCACTGGCGAACGTTGTTACACGGACCCTCCTACAAATAATCGTGAAGCGGGAATGAAATGTGGATTACGGCTGGTAAAAAAAATCTCATCTCCGTGCCCGTTTGTTTTCAGTGTTAATACGTTGTTTCATTTTTATTGCCGGGTCCGTACGTGACCGCATCTGTCTCGAATTGACTTTTCTTTCGTACTCCAAGTTATTAAAGCCGAAACCGTCTTTTTACGTATACATATGTAGATATGTATTGTAGACGGCATATTCTTATGAAAAACGAAACGTTTATCAATGTGTATTACGAACATTGCAATATAAGTTCAGCTTTTGATATTTTGTAATTTTTTACAATGTTTATATTTCCTGTAACAACTCTCGATAATTGCATAAAGCACATGGTTTATATACATATGTAATCTTCAAATATACTATAGACTGTTTCAAGTACCAACAACTTAAAACTAACATAATATATATGAGATGAAAATCAAATTTGTTACAGATCTGTGCATCAACAGCCATGGACATTCGTGGACAGGAGAAAACACGTTGAAATAATGATGCTCACGCGTCGTCGACGAGGTCGCCTGACGCAGAATTCATTCACCGGCCACGATCTTGAGGATGTACGCGAGAGATCCAACCCCTAAATCGTTTTTACCTCTAAACCTGTAGAATTCCCTCTTCTCGATCAATGTAGAAAGAGCTCGGTGATCGTTCTGGTGATTCAATACATTTCTTAGTCGGCAACGAGAAATCGCGTAACAGAAGATTTCCGTTCCATCTCACGGAATACAAAAGTGGGCCATTATACTGTACAGTCTAATTTGATCGAACGCTATAGGGGTGATAATGCGTGGAAAAGTTCATTAACACGTTTGTGCTTATTATCGTGAGACGATAAGGAACATTGGACGAGGGAATACACGGTGAGAGAGTTTGTGTTATTTGGAATGTTGCGTCGATGAGGTTTAGCAGAGATTTATCGCACGTTCCCAGAGAATAGCGGTAAAGCTTATTGGATCGGGAACGTTGATTGAACGAAAGGGTACGAATGTGTTCGACAAGTCGTTCTCTGTTCTAATTATATCTCCCTCATTTTGGAGCAACTAAATAATCCTTTTTTTCTTAAACTCGTTCTTATGTAATGAATTGGGATAAAATATGCAAGGGAATTATGTATAACGTATCAGATTTCGTTTCCTACAATTGTTTGTCTTTTATGCCAGTTATTTTGAAAATTTCACTAACAAATTCATTGAACGCGGAGGGAATATAATTAGAAAATGAAGAATTATTTAACCGCAGAAGATTGTATACCTATAAAGAGGTATGAATATGACTTAATAAAAAGTTTGCCGGAAGATTCTGATGTACATACATGTACTTACCAACATTTTCACACGGAATATCATATTATTTAAATTAACCATGTCGCTAAAAAGGTGTTGCCGATATCGAGTAGAAGGAAAGAAGGGAACCAGTCTAACAACTGGTATTATGGGAAGGTAGGTCATTCATGCCGGAGCAACATTTACCTGCGCCGGAATATCACTTTATTTATGTGAAAAAATTATTTACATGAAATGCTTTCTAAAATTTTCACTTTCCCAATAAAGCAGAAGACTGAACGGTGCTATTTAAATCACAAATATTTTTCTGTAATCTTAACAGATAGAGAAAACGTTTCGAATACAAATGAACCTTTACGCAATTGGGATGCTGAAGAAAACGTTGACACGATAAAAAATAAGCATTGTGCTTATAGTGATAGCTCGTGAATTTTACAACAACTTGTTACGCAAGAGTAAACAGTTGCAAATCATTAAACCGGATCAATTTTTGTTTTCCTCTATAAAATGAAATGAATGAAATATTTTAGCTATGCTGGTGCAGGTAGCAATTGCCAGTGTGTATATATACAAACTGTTGTGCTATTCCTTCCTCCTCATCGCGTTTTCCGAGAATTGGAGAAGCCGACCAATTCAATCGATGCCGACCTGTTCGATATCCCTCATTCAACGTAACTGCGGCCCTCGACATCCCACGTGCGATTCGCGCAATTTTCCACGAGGACTGCTCCTCTAAGCGAGTGGTTTTCCACTTGACCTTCAGGAATCTCCGTTCGCCGAAATATTTCCTGAAAATAATTGGTTACTGAGACAAAGTATAGAGTTCCATTCCCTCAAACAAGTTTTATTATGTTTCATACATAAAAACGTATATACATCAAATATAAGTCGCACGTCTTTCAGTTCCTGTTGAGGCAAAAGAAGTAGTAATACTAATTTTTAATTGATATCTGTCCCACGTAATGTTAAGTTGGAACGTATGAAACATCGCTTGTTTCTAAGATTTGTTTTCTCCAACTGAAAAACATTTACGTATCCTGTTTTGCGTTATCGTTATATTATTATAGGTCAAATTGAACGTCCATTACGTTTGAAAAAAATAATACTTCATATGCACCAACTTAATATTTATTTCCAATTTCCATGTTTAATTACGCAATTAATTTCTTATCATATTTTTGACACGAAGATATTAAATTCGTTCTCTGAAATCGTTTAGACCATCTGCTAATTTTTAGATAAACATATCCACCTGTTAAATATTCAAAATTCGCTTTCTACTAACAGGACCGGTTCCGTTCTTTCAACAAACGTCACTGCTCGATCAAAGATCGCAATCACCGTCGTTAAACGCGATATTGTATAAAAACGCATCGACCATTTCGCTTTTAACACGGTAAAGAGAATGAGGAGGACAAGAGCAACGAGAACAGAAACGCGTGATCGGGAATAACGAATTTTCCGGTCCAAGCAACGTGTGAAAATGTGATGTGCGCGCAAAAAAACGTATCAAAACGAAACTGGCCGACTGCGCAAGGATTTTATCTATACATACATATACACATACAGTACCCCCCCACCCCCAAAGTGTTCGTCTACTCTTTGAAATAAAATACCTTTCCTAAAATTGATCGAGTCAATTTGAATTTATCTGTGATGGTAGACGCATTAATGTACTACATAATTTGTTACAAAATTGCAAGTTGTAGAAACCGCAAGTGAACAAATAAAAGTCGTCTTTTTTTACTATCTCATCTGAGTCTATAATATAATTTCGTTCAACGTATTTTGAATATCCCACATCTCCAGTCTCCCGAAGAAATTCAAATCGAATCGACCAGTTTTAAGATCTTCTGTTTTATAAAGTAATCGAACACTTTTGCGGCTGACCGTACATACATACATATTAAACGTGCACGATCTATACATATTATAAATAGGCCCGATCGATCACGATAAGATTATATTTTTATATGTACATATGGCGTTCCTTCTTGTTATCTTATTAAATATATTGATGAGTCGGTAGGTAGAAAGGCGAACGAACGTGATCGAATGCGTAGTTCGAGAAAAGAGGATCGGTTTTGTCTTCTGGAACAGAATAGATATTGTTTCGAAACAAACGCCTGGATTGCTTTATCCCATGAATGTTTCATGAGAGAAAGCAGGCGGGTGGGAAGCACTGATTTTAAACTCGATCTTCGAACTGTTGAGTGCGATCGATATTATTTCATGAAATTCGTCACGTTTCATTACACGTGAATACTCTATCAATCTTTTACAATCCTTTAATATCCAATAACAAATGCAAATCACTAAATCAATGCATTGATCTAGTATTAACGTGAACAATCTTGTTTGTGTCGATGAAATAAAATATAATAACACGTAGGAAATGAAGGCAATAATTCTGTAAAACGAAGTGGATAAATGTTTTTTAAATAAGCTCATTCCCTGTGTCGTATTATGTCGTCAGAGAGACAAAAGAGATGGCGGTAAGATTAATCTTTTTAGTACAAAGATAGTCGCATCTATCTGTTATCTCCGCATCAAAGCACGAAAAGAAAAAAGAAATGACGGTAGGATTAATGCTTCTTACTTTTTGGTACATGGTAATCTCGATACAATGTGTTTGATTCCAGAATAAGTCTCGAACAAAGTCGGCAAACAATTTTCCATCTATGAAACGACGGTCCAATCGAATTTTTAATACCAAGCAGGACATGTGGTTGCTTTGTCTTTGTGGAAATGGACACAAAGGTTATTGACGAAATTTAATTTTGTTAAAGAATCGGAGAACGTCCGTGATCTACGACGACAAAACGAGAAATAACGTTCGGGTTAACGAGATTTCCACCGTGCGCCGTAGATCCTTTCGAAACCCGGGCGCGATTAAATCTTGCTCGGTTGTTTTTTTTTGGGAGGGAGGAGCGAAAGGGGTGACGTTTATTCCGACGCGCATGGTAAATTCGTATGGCATTTTTCACGTACGAGGATCATCCATCTAGCGTGTATTCGAATAAAAATGCTCGGAGCCGGTACAGAAATAGTTTCACTTGCGATACAAACGACCCGTTGGCAACGGCATCCTGTCGATGTGTAGTTCTTCGAGTGGCAGTCGGACAAACCCATGATTCCGTTTTGATTAATCGCCCCAGGAGATTGACGAATAACCTTTACCAAAATTCCAATGAACCCAATATTTCTTAAATCGCGGAATAAAAATCATAATTTTGTAGCTTCATTTTTATACGTAATTAAATCATTTAAAATCGTAAAGGAACAAAGCAATAATTAATCGATCGTGCTTAGCATACATACAACGATTTATATCGATAAGAAAAATAGTTATATCCCAGTGAGAATTATGTTACATAAATAAAGCCTACGTTAAGGGATCATACAGCGGTGATGCACTCGAGTTTCGGGGCTTGTCACGCACATAATGGGATTACGTTTGCGATGTGCGGCAACACGATGCGACAGGAAATGTAACTCGGCTGGAGAAGTGTGTCACGGAGCTGGACGAAATATCGTTTCGCAACAGACGATGAGTATTGTAATAATTTGGTAATCATAAGCGACCACGGTGTACACCAGAATCGCGTTTCACCCGGTTACTATTCCGTTTCAGTATTACGCTCGCGAAATTGACGTTAGCCCATTTCTAGCGCGAAGTTGAGAACTATAATTTAAGGATGTATAGGCTACATACTTAAACGATACTATCATGTTGAATTTATTATTATAGATTCAACAATATAGCTAATTCTACCAATTTTTATTGTTTAGAAACCAATTGAACGTTGACAACTAAACTTTTTTCATTAAAAATCATTGTTCGTCCGACGTTTGATTTCTTTTTAATTATAGGAAATGCGTTTTTCTAAAGTACATAAACTTTTGGGATTGACTGTATAGCCAATATATCCTTAAGAATTAAACTTATGTACATGATGATAATTGAGCGCAAAAGGGGGATTCCATTTCTGAATTCGTTTATTGTACGCATAAATGACAAACGGAGAAATTTCTTTTCGGCAGTGAAATCGCGTTTCCGCCGGGAGGTGAGAAAAACAGAAGTTCGTGCGATGCATGCATCAGGATTTCGCGAAATTGTGCTGTCAGCAGCGTGTCACGATCGTGAGCTCCCGCGTACAATCTAAAATTTCGGAAAAATCCAACTTTCGCTTTGCGCAAAAAAAGTGTCAGCTTTACCCGTCCATTGTCAGATCATACGAGTGACTTAGTTAAACACCCATCGTTCCAACATGTTCCTTCGGGCTGAGAAGCAGTATTGTAACAAGTTTTAGAATACGAATTCGGAGAATATAAAAATGTATCAGAACAAATTCATTGATCAAATTGCACATATTTACATACCTTGTGTCTTAATACTTATTACTGCAATTTATGTTCTTTTTTTCAAATTATTGCAAATATTTAATCCGATTTTTCTTTCGCCACGCGTAACGTAAATATTGAAAAAGTGTGACGGCATTGCACTGATTCAAAGACCGCGAACCGCAATACTCGAGTAAACTCGGTATTTGCAATAATACGCCGGTATTAGCTGGGTTCAAGTACACCTTTTGCCCGGATGCAATTGCACATTCTTCCCACGGCACGGCGGCTCGCTGATCTTCCGGCTACCAGAGCTGCATTCCTCGAACGCGATTCCCTTACGGCGAGAATTTGGTCGCTATCGGGCTACCAATTTCTCCCGACGCTCCACGAGTTCCCAGTTTAACTGTCGCTAAAGGTAATTGGAAATTTGTCGTGATACGTGGGGCTCTCTCGTCGGGAGAAAAGAACGAGTCGCCTGTCGAATATCTTCCTTTACAGGAAACGGTTGAGGGATTTTTCCAGCGATTTTCGTACTTATGGATTGCTTTTGATTAGAAATTTAGGTATTTGACGGACAGGAATCTAGCAAAAACATCGTCTACGATTTTTAATAACTTTTATTAGTCTTCTAATATTTTCATATAGATTCGAGTACGTTCGTGAAACATTCAAATTAAAAATCTCTTGTACACAAAAATATTTGGCGCAAAGCACGCGTTTTATTTAGAGCATGAAATGAATCTCCTGTTTCATTTCCATCTGTCAGTCGCATAAAACAAATTTTCATGAATATCCGTGACATATTTACGAATATCGTCACACCTTTTCTATTATGATTGTGTAATTATTCTGATGACAATGATTTTAAAATTTTACGTAAGGAATCATCCCCTTGCCGGACGTATCACGATTTAAAATTAAATATCGTTTGATATTATTTGTAAATAAGATTAGTTTCATGTCTTAGTTGAAACCTGAAAAACATGAAGCAATATATTTATTCTATTATTTCCAATTTACAATTTAATTGGTATTCTAAAAGAACAGTGTCTTGAACTTTTAACTCAAGATCGGTCAATTATCTCGAGTAGTAGAGTAGCAATAATCGAAAGTGAAAACGTCTTAAATTTCGTTTAATTCACGATTTACGATTCTAGCCTTGTTCGCGTTAAAGAGTGCATCAGCGTGAATCGGATAGCGCTCGTTCATTCCGTGCCGCGTGCTGCTTAAACTTGTATCGCGGAAGACGGCCATTGTACGAAGATACTGGAGTCCTTTCGAAACAATGGGAACGAAAATGCTATCGCCAATGCTAAATTAAACCCGGTGTTTCCGAGAGCATAACAAGCACGATATTGTTAGCGTTTCGCGGCGAGATATACTGCGATGGTTGATGCGTTCGAATGCTTAATTAGCGACTGCTCCGTGTTTTGCTTCTCGCGTGTGATAAATGATGAGTGCGTATTCATTCCTTTTAAAGGAAGAATTCGTTTTTCTTAACAACAAGTTATTTCGAAATCGGTACGGTTAGTATAAGACTAATTAAAGTATCGTGCAAAATACCGTACAGAACGAAGTGTTTATATGTTTTATGTAATTTGCAAGATATTTTATTATTGCGTTTAAAAATTCTTAGCAGAATTAAAATGTTCATATCACGAATTATCAATTCGAGAAAATATGATTGTAATGCCAGTATACGAATTAATATAGACTTCAATTACTGTTATATTGTTACATTGTTGCTTATCGTTATCAATTTTCAGAGGTCTATCTTTGGCTGTTCTTAAATTATTATTAAAAGAAATGTAAAGTTTTGTTAAGTAATTATTTCATAACGTAATCAAAGATGGACCATCCCTTCGGAACTGTATAGAAAATAATCGTGCTCCCACCTGCTTGTGCGTGAAAGAATGAAAAAAGAGAGAGCGAGAGAGAGAGAGAGAGAGACAGGGAAGAAAATGATTACTATGAAATAGCGAGATAAGTTGTATAGCTGTTTATATATAAAATCGTACTACTAATAAGTTACATACATAAAACAGATACTTTAAAAAATCCCTCGCACTTACCGACATGACCGCTCTGTAAAGAACGTTTAAAACTCGACGAAAATGTAAATTCCGACGCGTCCAGGCCGCGTGACGGGCTGCGGCGAAACGAGCAAAGGGAAATACGTAAACGGGGATAGAACGGCGGAAAGGCGAGAAGAGAATGAGACGGTAGGGAATAAATTAACGGGGACGGCTGGACGCGTCCGCTCGCGAAGCTGTATATGTAAAGCAATTGTGAGTTATTAAATAAATGAATTGAAAGCACCATTCTGGCCGGCCATTCCCCCCTTTGGAACACCTCGAGCCGTTTCACTGGATCAGCGGGGAGCGAGAAATAATTTCGCGCCAGTTTGATATCATTACCGCGGTGACAATTACGGGTTTCGGCGAATGAATGGAGAAATGAGGTTCTGGCACGAAAAATTGTTTCGTTAGCCCGGCCACGAATCGCCTCGTTCATTTTTTTCAGATACCGAAATCCACTCATTTTTGCCAGTTCTTCCTTGATCAAGCCTGAAAAAGTTCTATTCAGGACGAACTTTAATTAATATCGAAATAATTTTCGTATCAAGCTACAAATTATTATTAATCCCTTGTTAAGAAATGTCGTTTAAAATTATCGAGTAATCGATTTTATTTTCAGGTCTAGCAAAAATATATACTTAATTATTGAAATACGAGGATGCATTCATTTAATGATCTCTGTCGTATAATAAATTCATACCCAACGCGTTTTCATAGCATCATATAATAGTTATTGCATATGATATTTCTTATTTACTGATATTTTATGTGCTTATATTTCTGTACGTTTTTGTGTTTAAATTAGGTAGTGGTTCCTGCATCTGAGTGGAGCGTAAAGCAGTGTGAGGATGCGGAAATCGTGTGGTTCCTTTGAAACTCGGTCATTTAAGTGTGTTTGATTAATATAGCTAGAGGACGATCGCAAAAGCACATTCAACGATAGAACTTCCTGGCAGATTCAACATAGAACTCGTGCAAACTGTCGCCGAGTGGTCCAAGAGTGATAAATATTCCGCGAACGAGGTATTAGTTAATGAATCAAATAGGAGAGATTCCATGGTCGGTGAGTATTTAGACCGATTAAACATTCTTCCAACTTTCGCGCTTTCCGCGTTCCCCGCCGAAAAATTCTATTTTGCGATTTATATTAAAATTCCGTATAATACCGGGTAATTTCGATGCGATGCTAAAGTCTCGTTTAATATGCACCGCATTAAGCAGCGAAACCTTTATTTCCACAGCGATAATTGGCGCAAC